CGCGCCGCCCCCCCGGGCGCCCCCCTTGGACACCATCGGGCAAGCCGTGCTCCGCCGTAGCGAGACCATCGCTCCCGTGGCAGAGCCGCCTACCCGGGCCGCCGATGGGCTCCTGGTTCCCGCCGCCCGCGACGGGCTGAGCGAGGTGCTGGCCCGCCTGCTCATGCTCTCCAAGCGCTGCCCCTTCCCCGACGTGAGGGAGAAGAGCGAGGCGATCCTCAGCGAGGTGCAGGTAAGCGCGGCGGACCCCAGCCCCTCGGGGCTCTGCCGTCCCCGTCCCACGCAGGGTACCCTCGACTTTAACCTGTGGAACGGGGTGGGCATCTGACCCCGGCCGGCCGGATTTATTCGTGCAGTAATACATGCTAAATGTTTCCACCTTTTTGCGAAGCAACATTTGGAAAAGCGTTATTAAAAGGCAGGGAAAAAAGCGTCAAGTTTTTGAGCGCGATCCGGGGAGAGGATTTAGTGGTGAATGGCTGGAAAGTAGCTGATCGTTGGGGCATCCCGAAGGAAGTGCTAAAGTGACAACTTTAATGCTCTAGTTTTGGTCTGTATGACCAGTACTGTGGTATTACCAGTTTGCTTTAATACAAAAGCAGGAAAGATTTGGGTATAAACAGTCAGGGCTGCCAATTAAAAATATAAATCGGTATGGGAAGTTTTTGAGCTCTTAAGAGCTGCATGAGCTTCAAGACTATTAAAGCACAGCCTGTCAAAATTCCCTTTTTGTTGTTTATTGGTAAATAGTTTCTCCACTGGCATCGGTAAGATCCAAAGTATTTTTTATAGCTCATAGGTGGTCTAGCCAATAAAGGATTACATTTACTGACCTTTTATGCTAACGAAAATAAATGTTACTTTGTACTCTTCCACTGTTGCAGTCTAATTATAGTTACTCGCATTGCAATTCTCTTGCTCACCTAGAGTTTTTGTGCAGGTCTTGAAATTCTGATGCAGGGCTTTAGCAGCACTGCTAAAAATACTACTTGCTGCAGAGTAGGAAAAGGAAATTCAGGTATTTCTTTTAATCACAAGTGAATACATAGAGCTGTGCTTGGAGTTAGCTGCCTGATTCCCGCTATTGTGCTTTTTCTCCCTGAACATTAACAGGTTTAATATAGGGGAATCTAGGGGAAAAAATAATAATATATATATGTAAACATTATATATACACACACTATAATATATACAATACACGCATGTATTAAATATAAGACATTATTATATATATATAAAAATACACATATATATGTATTTTAAAGGAACTTGTATATGGATTCATTTTTGCTCTGTCCTACTTTGAAGTGGTTCAGAGAAATTCTGGGTCTGGATTACTGAAGCTGAGAGGGGCTCTGTATATTTTGTCTAACTTCTCAATAGTGTGCAATGTGATAAATACAGTATAATTTAATTTATTTTATATAGTTTGGGCTGTATGGGGCATTTTTCTCAAAGCAGATTTTGCCAATAGAAGCTACAAATATGACATACAGTCTATGTGAAAGGCTTGACAGCTATACTGCTTTTCTTTAAAAACTCAAACCAATGAAACAAAAAAAAAAAACCCCACCAGCCACAACTTCTCCGATTAAGTTTTCAACTTGAATATTCGCCTTTGCATCAGTATCTTCCCTGTTAAAGATTCAAATGAGAAGTGGGCCCATTACTAGTGAGAATGATGAGTCACTGGAACAGGCTGCTAAGGGAAGACTTGCTTTTATCAGGCACAAGTTATCAGAGTCTATTCAAAGGCCAAACAGGTGGTCTTGGAGGAGGTCAGACTACATGATTTGATGACTCCCTTTTAGGTTTTTATATATGAAGTTACAGGCATGTTCAACTATTAGTCTTGTTTAGAAACTTTGTTACTAGCTTTTTTAAATAGGCCAAAAAGTTCCAGCAGAAAATAAGTCCATCTTGATACAGCAAGGGCAAGTTCAAATCCCATGGTCATAGCTGACTTGATTAATAAAAATAGATGTAAAAGATATCATAGATATGAAACCAATTGTATACACACAAGCTGCAGTAAAGGTTTAACAAGAAGTTAAGTGAAATAAAATCAAATACTACATTACTTTAAGAAAATCTTTAAAAGCTGTTTCTGTAACTTTTCTTCTTAAGGAGTAGATCTAGGAGAGAAGTATTCTATATTCTATGAATATAGAGTGGCAAGTCTTAGTTCTTATGACTGTACTCATAAATGACAATTTTCATTGTAATCTTTGGGTCCACATTTGTGGAAGAAATAATCTAATCCAAGTATTCCATTTTGGATGCTGCCGACTATTGTCAGGCATGAAATGGTTTTCTGTTGATTTCATGGCCAAGAGGAATTTTATTCAAATCTCTGCAATGAAGATGGCAGATAAAGCAAACTATTACATTAAATATAATTATCCCATAGAACTCATAGCTTTCAGCAATTATTCTAAACGCGAGTAGCTTAGTAACATTATAAAAATGTGAAATCCTATTCAGAACAGTATCAGCACTTAAAGGACTCACTTGTGTTACTTTATCTCCCTGTTTTGGGATATGAAACTATCTTTCTTTAAGTCCACAGCAATATGTACTATTATTCTGTCTAAACCTTATTCTCTGCCAAGTTGTTAAAGGACACAGAGCCCAGGGCAGGAAGAGGCAACTTTGAACCCAAACATTCTCCTGGGAACTGGTGCTGCCCTCCTTCTCTCTCCTGTGGGATGGTCCAACTCAGACCAGTAGTCTGAGCCTGGACTGATTCCGCGCCCCCCCCATGAAATGGACAATTGTAAAATGTGCTTTCTTCATCTTTCTGCCCTGCATCCAGGATAGGTCAGTGAGGAAATCAAAGATTTGAATTTTCCATGTGGTCTGATAGCTATTTCTTTCTGAGGCTAGTGCCCTCTTGCCTGTTGGGGTAATCAGCAAATATTTAGGCATGAGCAACTATGCTGCTGGTGTTTTTGCAGCTTTGTGTCTGAAGCAAGTTGGTAGAATGCATTATATGGCTGGTGTAAGCTGCAGGCTTGGCAGCAGCCTGTGTCAGCATGCCATCCCTCTGAGCCTGCCTTTGTTATCGTCGTCTCTTTTTTTTTTCTGGAGAAAAATTCCTCTGAAATATGGTGGAATCTTAAGTGTGCAACTTTCTTCTTTGCTATTAATAAATATTAATAAATAGTATTGCCTGTATCAGAATTCTAAAAATAAATTATTACTTAATGTAAATTCCTGTTGATTTGACTTATATTCAGAATAATGAGTTCCTTATTGCAGACTGTATATATTTATATATATAAAAATATATATTGTTTTAGCCTAAGAGAATATATCTAATTTCTCATTTAGATTAGACAAGTTGTTTTTGTAAGAGTTATTACAAAGACAGTATCAGCAAGCTAGTCCTCTTTTTTCTAATTAAGACTTTCTTGCTTTTATTAATAAAAGCAAGGTTGCTAAAGTCACTTTGACCAAATATATATACTTTTAATTATTTAAAGATATTTCAATTGCAATGCTTTAACCAAGTGAAAAGAGTTTGAATGTTTGTGTATGAAAATATTTGATGAGTGGTTTTTGAGATAAAACCCCAAATATATCATAGCTTTTTGATAACTTCTTGCATATGTGGTATTTTGCACCTATTTAAAGCGTATTGCTTAGGACCTTGCAGAATAGCGGGTCATTCCACCTAGTATGCTACGTGTCTGTACACCAATACAAATATATGGGGAATGAACAGCAATGGAAAGTCTTAACACGTGATCTTTAAAAGTATTCTGCCCAGCCTCTATCAGATCAATTAGATGTATGTGACTAGAATATAAATATAAGGTGTACATCAGTAGCTGGAGAAGAATCATTGAAAGTATGAGATTTGCTAGTTAAAATCTCTCATAACCATACAATGTCTTTTGGTAAAGACTGAGCAGAACTTACTGCTTTGCTGAGGTATGTAAATTCATAAAAATAGTATTTTAGATTAACAAAGAGAATGCCTAGATGGGAGGCAGGTTCTGCAGGAGTGACCAAAGATGTTAGCCTACATAGGATAGAAGATGACAGAACAGCAGAATAAAACCCACAAATGTCAAAAAGCTTATAATTTGGCACGTAAAGGTTGATCGGGGGGCAAACATAAGGAAGAAAGAAAGTGGTCTCAGCCTCTTTGAGAAGTAATGTCATAGTACCAAACACTTTCATTGAAGGGGAAAATTAATAATGAAAAAAGAACTTTGCTCCCTATTTGATGTCTTCATTGATGTAAACACAAGAAACAAACAGAAAATGGGAAACTATGTTGCTGAAGATGCACACAAAGTGCATGAAGATGCATGAACAAAACTGGGACAATCAAATACATAATGAAGTGTAGCTAAAAGGGATATTGGAAGAAAGCAAGAAATAAAAGATCCACAGATTAATGGATTAACAGGTAATGCTGAGGTGATTGAAATGTTCTCTGAAATGGTTAATTCAGCCAGTGTAGTTAATAGCCATGACAAAAGCGTAAATAGTACTGATCCTAGAGTAGGGGGGGAAAAAAACTGTAGGCTGCTTGGATAAGCAACAGATTTTCAACCTGGTAGGGCCTGATGAAATTCATTCTGAGGTGCTAAAAAAACCCACTAGCTGAAGCAATCTCAGGCCTGATAATGGAGGGAAGTAGTAGACCCAAAGAATAATGGTGCATACCTCTTCAGTATGAGCTAAGCGGGATGGGATGAAGAGGAAACTGGTGGATTTTAACTTTAGTTCAAAGAAAAAATACTGGAGCAGTGATGAAACGCATTTTTAGCACCTAGAAAAAGAAGTTGAGCAACAGCCAAAACACATAAATTATTTTAAATCCAGCATTTCTGCTTCTTTTACGATAGAGTAACAGGCTTTGTGGTGCAGAGATATGCTAGAATGTTAATATGTTGATATATTGGAGTCCTCAATATTCACATGATATTCTCATTAACAAGCTAGGGAATTATGATCTAGAAACTGCTGTGCAGTGAGTAAAATTAGCTGGAAGACCATCCCCAGAAGGTAAACAAGGTCAGGTAGCAAGTACTCAGTACAGATCCTACAAGGTCCTGTCCAGCACGATCTTGATTAACAAAGTTTTGCGCTTGTTGAATTGCAGATTGCAAGCTGGGAGGGAGAGTAGAAATACCGGAGAGCAGCCATGGAATTTAAAATTATGTTAATAGTTAATGGGAGCATGTATTATATCTTCTAGACCTCTGATTTTTTTTA